GAAATTTCTATACTTACAACTTGCTCATCTTTGTCCAACATCGTCTTATCATTGACGATCAATGCCCTCTCAACATTGACGGCAAATGTCTTCTCAACATCGACGCCCGATACTTGAGGCATAACATCGATGCCCAACTCTTGTTGATTGCAAGCTCTGTTCCTATCAAAAAATCATGCGGAATTTTGGGTTACACATTCAAATCGAAGTAGTTCCTCCTAGGGTTGCGAATAAAACTCGATGTTGACAAATAGTTCATGTTCCACTTGTTTACGTTGTTTGGTTGGTTTGATATGAAACAAACTTACTCGAACAAGGCTAAACTTGCTCAAGCTTAGCTTATTTGCACTCCTAGTTGCGCAAGTTATTCGTTAGTAATTATCCTTGTCCCAAGTATATTGTATTTTCATGTTGTTATCTTTATCTCAAGTGGACAAATTTACAGAAACATTTCCTACATTGTTTGTGGCGGAAGCTCTATTGACTATTGATTAAAAATATTCAATCTATTGTTACGCAGCAATACATTATGATTAGTCAGTAGGTTTTGAATTTTCCTTATGTTGAATTTAAGGATTGACTGAGACTCTTTGATGTGTTGGAAGTAAACTACACTATCCATTTGCCATAAGAATGAAACTACCAATGGTGTTTTTATGTTTTTTTTTTAATCTTAATCAGAGTTGGTTTTGGGGCTCTGGTATTATTTCCTGTGATGGTTCAAATGATATGATGTCTTGCAGCACGGGTTTTCATTATAGTTTCTTTTAATATTTCAAACGAAGTAATACTCTCGTTAAATCCTCGTTGTTCACATTTTCTGATGTCAATCATGCTATCCTGACCTTCGACTTGAAAGCCAACCAGTTCTGACTTGACTTATGATGCTCCCATTGTCAAGGGACTAAATTGGCATTAATTTTGCATCTCAATTTCCATCAATTTATACTCATGGGATTATTTTGGATTAATTTTATATAGTTGTGGGACTAAATTGGAGAATGTGATATCCTGAGACTAAATTGGCCACATGCTGATGGTTGTGGGACTATTTTGAGCCTCTCTCTCTCTCTCCCTCTTTCTCTCTCTAATATATATATATATATATATGCATACACAATAACAGTAAGCATTTAATCCCACTACATGGAATTGGCTACATGAATCCTTTTTGTCTATTGTGTCTTGTTAAATGTTAAACTCTTATCTAAATCTAATACAAAAGGTCATTTTTAATACTTGATAACCAAGTCTCTTTAGGTTTACCTTTATTTTTCTTAACATATGTTGGATCTAATACATCTACTCTCCTAACGGGTTCATCAGAAGGCCGACGTTTTATGTTAACAAGCCATCTAAGATGACTCTCTAATCTTAATATGCCATTGGAGCTACTCCAACTTTTTTACGTATATACATGTTTTGCATTTATTATTTAAGCGTTAAGTTTGAGCATCCTCTTTTAATGGAAAACATTATGTGCCTTAAGCATTATTGGTCTCACCATCATCTTAGAAATTTTCCCATTGAGGGGTACTTTTTATTCACACAACAGACATGATGCATTCCTCCACTTCAACTGTCAAACTTCTAATAATATCCATATCTATTTCACCATCATTTTGAACAATATATTCGAGATATCTAAAATGTGTACTTATTTTATTGACTTGATCACCCTATGTTACAATCTTCGCCACTAGATCATTTACAACTAAAATTACAATCCATTATTTTGTTTTAGTGCTACTCAAATAAAAAGCTTTAGACTCTAAGATTGACCTCCATATTTCAAGTTTTTCATCAACTCCCTCTCCAGTCTTATCAATAAGAAGAATATCATCAGCAAAAAATAGACACCAAGGTATATCATCTTGCAAATGACTAGCAAGATCATCCATAACTAAAGCAAGTGATATGGGCTTGAAGCTGATCCTTGATGTAATCCAACAATTCTTTTTCCACACAAGGTTCCTCAATTAGTTGTATCTTGTACTTGTTATTTATTACAACTAATCCAAAATCACATTTACTTGTAATTTGTTTTTTTTTACTCCCACTTAACATATTAAAAAATTACATTATTATGTTGGTGTGCTATGGGGACGCATCCATTTCTCTTTTTTTAGTCGAGCTCTTTTTTGGGCATATAGATGCGAGGGAGAGAGAGAGAGAGCAAGTTTTCTTCTTCCTCTTGGAGCCATATTTTCTCTTGTCCGCCCTAGCCTGATAACTGGCTTCAACTCCCGACTGATCCAAAAACTTGTGCTTTTGTTGGGCTTGGCTAGCCATTGAAAGTCATATATGGCTGTGATGAGGTTATTGCTACGTTCATTTGTTGTCAGAGTAATGCTTCACTCATATAACCTCACACATAAATGGATAGGCGTGATATCCAGAGCCATTTTGAAGGTTGGTATTTCATTTTCCTCTTCTCAATTGATTGTTTCGCAACAAAGAAACTTCTCTTTTTGCTTTTCAAGTTTAAGGTGTAGCAGCCATCTTATATGATTGAGTTTTAAAGTTTTTTTGTGTCGCAGGAAGGAGGTGATTATCTCTTTTTGCTTTTCCTTGTACTTCCGTAAAATAAAGAGAAGAGTAATGCTATTATGCCTACATCAAATATTTTCTGTGATACTCACAATTCCCAAATAAATAAATAAATAAAAAGCTACACTGTCCAACTCACATGGGATAGATAGAGATGGATATGGTGTGAGGCTCTGCATCATGGATGGCTGCAGGATCCTCTCGTCAGGCAACCGTTGCAGTGTCACCCATCCAATACTTGACATTATTCTTAATGAGGCCTCCTAAATAAATTTGATGGTTTTAATTGGCCTACTCAGTTTGCAAAGAACAAATATTTTTTTTACATTTACATTGAGTAGTTGCATGTTAAGTCTCTTCTGTGCTTGATTAGCAAATTCACGAGTGATACTCATTAAAAAAGTAGGCGCAAATCCTAGAAAAAAATAATTTCCTGGTTTTTCTTTCTTGCACAGAAATAAATATTTTGGATATGCTGGTATATCTTCTTGTGGGCATTGATGGCTATGTTGCATGGCCTAGAAGTTATTGGATTTAATTTGTTTTATTTTGTAATGGAATATATGGAGTGTAATTTTAGTAGTAATAGACCTAGTGAGGGGATTGTGACTTTGGGCGATCAAGTCATTAATAAGAGTACACGTTTTAGATATCTTGGATCTATTGTTCAGAGTGATGGTGAAATAGATGGGGATATTATCAGCAGAATTCAAGTTGGATGGTTGAAGTGGAGGAATGCATCGGGCTTGTTATGTGATAGAAATGTACCCCTCAAACTTAAGGGAAAATTCTATAAGATGGTAGTGAGGCCTGCAATGCTTTATGGTGCCGAATGTTGGCCTTTAAAAGAGAAGCATAATACTAAGTTAAGTGTGACAGAGATGAGGATGCTCAGGTGGATGAGTGGCTTTACCCTTAGAGATAGGATACAAAATGAGCATATACGTGAAAAGGTTGGAGTAGCTCCAGTAGAAGATAAGATTAGAGAAAGTCGCCTTAGATGGTTTGGTTACATAAAACGGCGGCCTTGGTTAGAAAATATTAGGAATGACCTTTCTTTATTAGATTTAAACGAGAATTTGACTTTTAATAGGACACAATGGAGAAAAAGGATTCATGTACCGACCCCACGTAGTGGGATAAAGGCTTGATGTTGTTGTTGTTGTTGTTGTATTTTGTAATGGAAGAAGCATTGATGACCAGTCTTCTTTTTGCACGTCAAAAATTGCAAATGTGCAGATTAGGCTTAATATTTTGTTATAGAAGTATCCTTGATTACTTTCACTTGGAATAGGTGGCAACCTGTGATATAGTGCACTTGTGAGAATTTGGGATTTTTGGATAGTGTAAATAATCTTCTAGGTTATAGTCTCTTGCTGTTGGGAGGCATTCTAGCTGTCTTTGGATCATGCAGATGCAGCCGTTCTTTTGAAAACTTCCCACTTTCCTGATGTCTCTCAGAGCTTCGGAGGAATCTTGAAAGAAATTTGTACACATCTTTACTACTTTGATTTCATTCTTTTGCTTCCTGCTAGAAAAAAAAAAAAAGATAAAATAAATTAAAAAAGATGACTTACTATTTGTTAAGAATGAATCTGTTTGCAATCATAACGAGGGAGCTGCGGTTCTCAGGAGAAAGTTGTAGATACTGTTTATTCATTCCTTTCTTATTGAACCTTGATGCAGCGAAGAAACTAACTTGATCAGCCTCTGGTGGTAATTTGGCAATCCGCATTTGCAACTCAGAAATCTTTAATGGCGAGGCCATTATTTCCAGATAAAGTTTCTCTGAACTCTTTAACGGGCTTCTGAATGAAATGTCTTAAGCAAAGCCAATAGAATTGTTTTTCGGTTATGCATTTGCGTTATTCCTTCTGCAAATCTTCTGCAAGCTTGAGAGTACTATCACAGGGAACCAGAAACACTAACTGAAGGTTATGCATTTGCGTTATTCCTTATGTTATAGTTTTGCAGTCGTTTCGAATAAATGCATGATAGATAAAATTGATATATTTCTTTGTATTTTATGAATTATTAAAATATTCCTTATTTATATAATTATTATTTATAATATTTTTTGAACCATCAGGATGTAATAACAGTTCTAGCTGGTTTGAAGCTTATTTTTGGGATAACTTGTTCAGAGTAACAACGTTTTTTGTTTTATCATCTAGACCTTCAAGCTAAAAAATTATTGAGTTCTTTCTGTGATGATCTAATCAAATGTGGCAGCTATGGAAGAAAGTGGTGCTGTATTCTGATGGGATTCAATAACTGATTATTATTATTGTTGCGTTGATGATAATTTTTAAGATTTATTCAATAAACTGATTGTCAGCCATTGAGTTTTGATGATATTTTTCAGTAAATATGAGCAACTTTTTACCCCATAAATTTTATCCTTTTTAATATATGATTATCAATGTTCTTAATATCCAAGTTATGAATCAGACATTTCTACCTCTAATTTGATATTAAAAAGATAGGAATCTTTGTTAGTTCATACAGCTGTTATAAACCATTCTAAATCTCTTCTTAAAGTTATTACAGTTCATATCTGAATAAAATATCAGCAAAAATTGCTAAGATTGTGCAATCTAATAATAAATTATTTCATTCCAGTTCAACATTATGAACTTTTTTTTTTCCATGGACTGATCTCAGAACTTATTGAGTCATATTGGAAGTTTCAGAACTTCAACCTGATGATGATTTTCTGGTTCCATCTAATGTCAAGAGCGCCTTGTATAAATCTGGGCGTCTATCCCTGAAAATTCCCCAGCTATGTCTCTGGTACTTAATTTTATCCAGGTTGAACTCAGCTGTTAAAACAGCTTCATCTTTATCATTTGCAAGTGCCACGATTTCGCCGGTAGGTCCTGATTCCAGTTTTATTTAGAAAAGAATGAACAATTTTCCATAAAGTTCAAAGAATGAAAAGAGAATGCAATAGAAATACCTGCTATGAATGAATTTCCATAGAACTTTATTGTGCTATCACCATGTTCTGTTTCAATAGTTTCCTTGCCTATTCTATTAGAGGCTACAACTGGAACCTGGAAGCATATAGGATTATAGAAATGGTGAGCTATAGTGTTGAAGAAGATTGATGAATATCGCCAATCAATTTTATGCCGATCAACGAACTTGTAAATTTTTGTACTCTTGAATGTTATGTCGTTGTCTGAGATTATTTAGTGAGGCACATAGAGCTATTATTTTTTGATAGCAGAAGCTAACTTACCAAGTTGGCTCCAGCATGACCACACATTACTCGCTTCCAGTGTTCGCGAGAATCTAGTTCTGAATCTTGTGGTTCTGATCCTATAGCAGTTGGGTAAAACAGTATCTCTGCACCTTGAAGAACCATAGCCCTTGCAGCCTCTGGAAACCATTGATCCCAGCATATTGCTACCAAGAACAAAACAAGTAGCTATCATAATCAGAATTATTAGCAGTAGCAGCAGCCTACTTGTTCATGAAATATCTCAAGTAGAACATATTGTGCCTCTAATATAACCTAAAAGTTACACCAGTAAAAAACTTGGTCTAGAAGTCTATATAAATGAAGTTTAAGTTGGTTCGACTAGCGATAGAAGATCGACAACTAGTTCCTGTAAAAAAGGGGAAAAAAATCCTCACTTTCTACACAGTAACAACATAGTTTTCAATGACCTACCAATTCCAATTTTGGCAAATTTAGTTGAAAAAACCTGCCAAAAAATGGTTGAAGAGAACAAGATCAGTTCCAGTAAATAAGAAGTTTCATTATATCAAATTTTGTCCAGAGTAAAATTATCTTGTCAAAAAAAAAAAAGTTAGGACCTACCTTGAAACCAGTATCGCCAGGATTGAAGTAGAATTTTTCCTGATATCCTGTTAAGAACAAAATTTTCGATTGCTTTATGAAACATTCCTCACAGAGCCCAACAACAAAAATTAAACATGCCTGGTCCGTCAGGAATATGAGATTTCCTATAAAGCCCAAGATCTGTTCCATCAGCATCAATTATGGCTACTGAATTATAATGTGCATTATTTGCTTCTTCAAAAAAGCTCACAGGTATGACCACACCCAATTCCTGAGCAAGTTTCTGCATCCTGAACACACAAAATTAAGGCCAAGAATGCCAAAGTGCATGTAAGCCTCCAAGCAAAACAGTTCATCAGTTACCTTAAAATTGTTGGATGATCTTTATAAGGCTTAGCACGCTTAAAGAAATCCTCCCTCTGAGCCTGACAAAAGTAATAGCCTTCAAATAATTCCTGCAGAAGAAAATGTCAAATGTTAAGTCTTTTTTTTAACTTGGTATCAGCAAAAATAAAGCTATTGGCCTACAACACTGATAAGGCTTTGTTTGAGATAGCTTTCTTGCTGCTTCTCAAAGTCATTTTCTAATAAAAATTAAAATTTTTGTTCTAGAAAGCGGCTTTTAGAAGCAACAAGAAAGCCGTTCCAAACGAAGCCTGAATTAAGAAAGTTGGTTTGGTAAGGAAGTTTAGGTCAAGGAATCAAATAATCTAAAAGTAATCATGCATGACATGAGCCTTACTCATTTTGTCCTGTTTTCCACAAAGAAATGTAACATCAAAACACAAATATTGCACATACATTAGCAAAGACCATGGGTATTCACAAAGCTAATCAGCAAAAGAAAAAACCTTGGATCTCAAACATAACTTGACTAACATCCTCAAGTAGAATAAAAACCCGAACAGTTAGATGAAAAGTCTCAATAGCCACCAAGGCATAATAAATACTCCAAAACTTGTGCTTCAGCGATGCTACTAAAAAAATTGGAGAGGTTTCTTCCTCCGTAGAAGTGCACCAGACCCTCTTTTAGAACTTTATTTTGCTTCCTCTTATTTGAAAGAATTCGATAAAATCTTCTTGCATTGATGTTTGAAGAGATAGTTATTGACCTTCTTAATCATAGGACCTAGGAGAACATGTATAAAGTTTATGAAAGAGCATGTGTAAAATTTTGACACTTATAAAACATGTATGAAAATTCTAGCATTTTCTAGATTATTCTAACATTTTTTACTTATTTGAAATATTTTTTTAAGCATTTAATTAGAATTAAATGCTTCGTTAAATTAGATGGCAGATTTTTAGGACTATATTTTTTTTAAATAACCATTTGACCTATTTCTATAGATAAAAATTTCAAAGCTTCAATTTGGCTATTTGATTTAGAATTAAATTGAGTCAAGATTCCCTCTTATTTCTTCTTAAACATATCTCTCTTCCCTCCTCTCTTTCCTCTCTACTCTCCTAAGGATTCCTTTCTCCATACTATTAGTAAACGTGTCTCTCTTCTTCTTCTTTTTTTTTAATTTGTGTTTTAGATAAACTAGTACTTTCTCAAAGATTTATTAATATAGCTTAAAATCCTTAACATCTTAATGCAATATTAAGTCAGGTGACAGTTAAATACATAAGCTTATCGACAAAACAATACAGGGGTATCTTTGAAGCTTTCCTTATCATTGGACGGATCTCAGCCTCTAAGGTATTCATGGGAGATCAACAAGTTTGCATCTGAAAAACTCGATTTCTTCAAGAAGGTATATGCCATATTCCTTCTAGGAAACATAAGCATCATCTTTTCTATAAGCAAACTCGATGTGGAGGAACTACTTTGGATGTACCAAATTTTTAGTTGTGAATGTCATCCAAAGATAATGTTTTATTTCCTCAATGATAGAAATATTATTTCTAATAAGAAGAATATCATTAGTAAGCACACCAAAGATCAAAATTCCAAAGATCAAAATTCAGGAGGATGAATGTGGAATGATGATAGAGTGATAAACTGAGTAATTTCAAAGAGCAACATTAGCAAAGACCATTTAAAATTCATTAAATTAAGCACAAGGACTTTATTTAAACCCATATATGACTCTCTGAAGCTTTCTGATTTGTTCTCTCCCTAAGCAGCATATCAGAGGGGTTGCTCTATATAAATCTCTTTGAATAGTTCTTTATAAAGAAAAGTATTACTTACATCCATTTGAAGTATCATCCGCCCTTGGTTAAAGGCCACATAGAGAATGAGGCACGAAAGATTTAGTCAAGATGTTGGGGAAATGATATTGGAGAAATGATATCAACATAGTCAATATCATGAACTTCTATCAATTTATCTTAATAGCGGGTAACACCTATAGACATGAAATGGGTAATCAAGAAGTGTCCCTATTTCAATATCCATTGCAAGCTACAAAGTAGGATCAGGCAAGTCCTAAGAATAGATTTAACAAAGAGATACAACAAAGAGATACAAGGCCAAACAATGAAAGGAAGTGGATAAATGATCAAATAATGTAAAATACTATCAGGTGGTTAGTACAATGTCGTTTACCTTTTTGAGAACAAATAAAAAGAGATTTGAGGTTTCGATTGTAGATAGACGCCCAATCGTAGTGAACAAGATGAAATGAGGTGCATGTGAAGGGGATAGATGAGGCGAACGGGTATAAACCCATAATATAAGAGTAGGCATCAAAGCATGAGGTGGAAGTGGAATTCCTAAAGAAAATTTTGTAGTGGAGGTAGAAGGGTAATAAAGAGATGCTATGTGAAATATAACAATGCAAGATGATGTCAATGATTATATAAAGGCATAAATGGATCATAACTTTGGTAACCTTGAAGAGCAAGATAATAACCGAATAAAATAAGGAAATAGTTTATGGCATTTAGGATGAAGAGAGTGAACATAATCAATACAATTGAAAACATAATGAATCAAGGAAAAAATATATTTGTGCAGATAAACAAGAGAGAAGCATCACTCAGAGCAGTGAAAGACTAATAATTGAATGAGAAGCGCACCTCCTCAAAATTGTCATGAAACTTTCATGTGAAACATTAAGGTATGAGCAATGTTAAGGAGATATTTGTTTAAATTCAACCACACCACTTTATTAGAAAGTAAAAGAATGTAAAAAGTTAAGAGTAACTGATGGATAATAGCATTTTTAGCACAAGAGCAAAAAATAGATTGTGTGTCTTTCAAGGCATCATTAAAATGATGAATTTTAAAAGAGGTGGAAAATTGAGTTTTATTTTTAATAAAATTATTTGAATACAACAAATATTTTGGGTCAACATTTTAATTGACATATCCAAGTAAACTTGATGTAGTCATCGATAAAAAAAATAACAAACACACAAATAACTAGACACTACATTTGGATCCTAGGTATCGTAATGTACCAAGTCAAAAAGGAGCACTGCTATGAGAATATGTTGACATAGGAAAAGAGACATTAAGTAGATTGAAAGGCATAAGGGAAACAATGAGTTAATTAAGTAGATTGAAAGGCAATGCTTGAATGAGGTTGCAAACAACTAATCATCATATAAGATTGTTTAGAGTGGTTACATGTGCAAGCTCGTTCGAGCAAGAAGATCCCAAGCGAAAGGAAGACTTGCAACAAGAAAGAGGTGCAACTGAATGTGAGTAATGTGGGGCAAAGTAAGGAGATGTGTGAATGCACACAACATGCATAATAGGACACACAAATTAAGTGATTAAAGCAACACATGTAGAGTTTGAGTGCAACACACAAGCCAATGAGATAATGCATCAAACGGGTGTAGCGGGCAAATAGAACACAATAAGCAAGAATGAGGCATGGCATGTGAAGTAGCATAAGCACAGCTGGTCTACAACCTACAAGTTTAATGAGCAATTGTAGTCGTTAGACATAATAGTGAAGGTACAAGAATAGAAAAGGAAAAAGACAAGGAGGGCGAATGAGGAAGGGAATTGATGACTAAGCCTAAATCGGACTCTGATGGCATGTTAATGTGATTGAAAACTAATAGATATTTTTTTGTCAAAATACTCAATGTCTCAGTAGGCAAATACATGAGAAAAAATACAAAAGAAATAATTAGGAGAATAACCTCAATTAAGGGAATACAAAATATTAAATAATAAATAACTTCCAATATGATAAAATCTCAATGATAACATGAATAAATCATAAAAAATCATAGCTTTTCACACATTGGTTCCAACATGCTTTGTTTCTACTGTGACAAAAAGAGGATGAATCTAGTCGACACTATAGCAAGTGACCATGATGGAAGAATTAGATTGTATGAATACTTGTCATCCAATTTCATAATTGGCTATTTAAAAGTTCAAGTGCTAAGAAAATTTATACTAAAAGTATGAAAGAATAAGCATACCTGAATGAGAACAATGTTTGCACCCTTCTTGTGAGCAGCCCTGACCAACCTGAATAAAGTTTTAAATTTATCATTACAATTTTAACAAAAGGATAAAAAGTCCAAACATCAAATGCATATCACCTTTTTAGCACGTACAGTTAATATAGCATATTCAACATTATCATGAGACAGGATATGACATCAATTGAGCTTTATGGACACTATCACAGACTAAATATTGCCTTATAACAACTTTTTTTTTCTCAAACTCACATTCCCAGATTAATATGCTACTCTTAGAATTCTACAAAAAAAAAAAGTTTATTTGCCAACAAAATTTTGTTTTATCTTGTTTTCTTTGATTTTCTATGTCAAATTGTATCAGGATCCTAAAAAACAACTATCTATCAAGTATAAAAATTGACATGAATCACACATCCTGAGAAAAGTGAGGTGGAGTGAACTAATCCCTAATTTACCTTCATTCCACTTAACTGATGACTTAGCCGACCCCATGTAGTGGGACAAAGGCTTGATGTTGTTGTTGTTGCCACTTAACTGATGACTAGATAAGCTTGTAACAATATAACAAGCCCTCAAATGAGATATAACACACCACATCAAGTCTGTGGACACTTGAGCTACTTGAATCGGAGCTATGTCAACCCTTAATAGGCAAAACAAGTTTAAGTAGGCCCATGTTAGACAAGACCACCAAACTGGGTCACACACTCACGCTCCTTATATAATGCAACTTCCATATATAAGCATTAATAAGCAATGACTTTGCCACCACCAAAGCTTGAACATTTGGGAACAAGAGTTGTTGGACCAATTGCATGGATTCTTCTCCTCATAAGCAGTACATTAAGGAGGTTTGATTGCATTGGAGGGCGTTTGTTAAGAAATTATTATAAAATGACTAAACTTATCCAAGCCATAGAGCCTCCTACACACCACAAGTTTCACAAGTCAATCATCTCTAAACACTCATCTCATAGAGAGGAGTTGAATCACATTAAAATGTTAAGAAATTATTACTTGGTTCAATCAAATCAATACAAGAGATATAGAACCTTCTTAGAGTTCTTCCAACCCATATGCTCAATTTTGATATATTACAACAATTGTTCTCATTACAATGGCGTTTATGATTTGGAAACTTCAAATCACTGCCCAAGATGACACCCGTGTTAATACCCATCACCGCCCGGACCAATCTAGGTTAGAGTAGGTCTTTCAAGTCAAACAAAGAATAACCATGATCATAGCTTTATTCCAAAAATTTAGGGTTGGCGAGACAAAGGATAAATAACATTGATTACAATTCAATCATCAAATTTATTGTGGTTAAATCAAAATAATGAATTCAAATAGGACTAAAACAGACCTCCAAAAAACGAAAACTACAGCTCTTGCTCAAGTAATTTAATAGATTCTCCACAATATTTGAACAAGCTAAGGACAGATACCCTCACAGTGTTAAGGGTGTTCAGAAGCACGGAAGATACACAGCAGATGTTCCGTTAACTTCTTTATCCTTCTATTTTTTTCTTAGGGCTCGTTGGTCTTTGGTAGATGGGCATGAAGTTCTAAGAGTCCAACCTTGGGATGGAGGTTGGATGAGAAGCTAGTGGGTTGTAGACTGAGGTGAACTCGTCTTCAAGAGAAATCCATGATTGATAAATTAAATCAATTCAGGGAGGATTTGCAGGAAATCAGCAACTGTAACAAAACAAAAATAAAAATGATACCTTTCAGCTGTTTCAACGTTGCCGGAGACGGAGTCGGAGCAAGCAAACTGAAGAGTAGCCACCACCACCTTCCTTTCTCCCTCCATCTCCCCGAATTCTGGGCTTTTGCAAAACACCAATTAGGTCTACCGGCAAGGAATTTTTATTAGGTCCGGTGTCGTGAGGTACCTCTACTTGCGGACCCAGTAAAATGGTGACACTTGTTTTTACTTTTTATGGCGTGGCCAATGATCCAACTTGGATCGAAATCCGGGATTGCTATGTTTGCGTATTGCTCGGCATTGCTTGACAATAACGAGAAATACAGCTTTGTAAAGACCAATACCGAGCAATACCTAGCAATACCTAGCAAAATCGGGGTATTGCTTGGTATTGATATGTATCTTCACATAATGGTATTTCTCATTATTGCCGAGCTACGAGCGGGTTATAAATTCATCGGAAGAAAAGCAAGCTTCGTCCATCGGAAGAAAAGTAAGCTTCGTCGTGCTGTTCGGCTTCAATCGAGAGGAGAAAAGCGTTGCTTCAATCGAGAGGAGAAAAGCGAAGCTTCGTCGTGCTGTTCGACTCCAATCGAGAGGAGAAAAGCGAAGCTTCGTCGTGCTGTTCGGCTTCAATCGAGAGGCTTCTTCGGCTCCTTCATTCGACTTCGCTCCGGCAAGCAGCTCCGGAGATACTTCGCTCCGGCGAGCAGCTCTACTCCGTCGCCCTCAAGTCCGGCCTCATCAACCTATCCTCGTCGTGCTGTTCGTCTTCATTGCACAAGAAGCTTCTTCGGCTCCTTCTTTCTTGTTCGACTTCGCAGAAGCTCTGTTTCTCGCAGAAGGTGAGCTTCGCAGAATGTCCTTCAATGTCTACCAACAAGCGTTACAATCCCTTTATGTTTCGTTAGGCCGCGCGGTAAACAGCAAGAGCACATGTCACCATTTTACTGGTGTCCGAATGTAGAGCTACGTCAGGACACCAGACCTAATAACAATTCCCCAGCAAGGCGCCGCCTTTCCATGTTACCACTTTAGCTAATATACCTATCCGGTTGGGGTTTAGCCATAATTTTTTTTTTTACACTTATCATACAATTATTGTATATTTATAAATCTAAGATGAAATTTTATATTTATTTATGCAACACTAAAATTTTTAAATTATATTATTATTATTAATTTTTATAAATTAAATACATCATTTTACACATATTTTTTGATACAATTTAAAAATTAAAATGTTATATAAATAAATATTAGATATATTAATACATAAAAAAATATATGATTTATATATAATTCCATAAAATCTTTTTGTGTATGTGCATATCTAAGATTTATTTAAGCCAAAATTAATGAGAATGACTAAATTCGAACTTATGAGTTATACGACAAAATTATGAAAGGAATAATAACACATTTGATTATAAAAATTACATTAATTTTGAAAATATTAGCTTAATTTCATGTTAGAAAGATTTATCATAAAAATTTATAGGCTACTAGATGTCTAACCTTGGCAGTAATACAATCAAGAGCATTTATGCTCTGATTGAATATTCTTTCATTTCTAATCCTACAAATAGTGAAAACCAAGAAAGAAATAATTAATAAATAAAGCCTTATTATTTATTTATACCCACAATTAGGTGAAGTTCCTTTGTTATAAATTTGATTGCAAAGAGAAAGAATTCCCAAAGAGAATAAACTTTCTATGTGAGGTCGGCTACATGAATCCTTTTGGTCCATTGTGTCCTGTTAAGAGTCAAATTCTCATCTAAATCTAATAAAGAAATGTCATTTTTAATTGTTTATAACCAAGTCTTTTTAAGTTTACCTCTATCCTTCGCAACAAAAATCAAATCTAATACATCTACTTTCATAACCGGGTCATTGGAAGGCCGCCAACTAACAAATTAAAGCTACATGAATCCTTTAATGAGACGTGGTATTTAGTGGTATTGTCGACCAATTTGAATGCTTTCATAAGACATCTATACACGTGGATTGATTAAAGTCATTACTTGCTAGGAGAAGTTGATGACTTGTTAGGCGAGATCATTGACTTGTTGAGAAAAGTCGAAAATTGACCTGTTGAAGAGGTCGCCAAACTACTAGGTAATCTCTCGAGTTTGGACGAATGTGCCAAGTGGATTTATTATGACTTTCATGAGTTTATAACGATTTTGGCGAGTTCGCCATCAACCCGACGAGTTCTTAGGATATGTATATATATAAAAGATTTTTTTTTGGTGATTTAATGGTTAAAACGAAATTCATTTGAAAAAGATTTAGTAATCAAATTTGTTAAAATAAAATTCTTACTTGAAAATATTTATTTTAAAATATAATTTTTATATGGTAGAATAAGTATTATGACTGAAATTTTATTTTTAATAAAATTTTAATAAAAATTCCGCCGCCAGCAACGAACACCCGTCGATCCCTCCTAACCTTCGCATCTCTGGCGAGCCAAATGGCGCATTCTGAGAGATCCACGCCACATGTCGAGATTAGGTGTCCCCTCTTTGCCACGTGTCGCATTCCTGTCCATCATCTTCCTCTGAACAGGCCTCAATACCCCGCCACTCTTCCTGATTCCGATCACTCGAGTCTTCGCTCTTTCACTGTCTCAAAATTGCTTCTCTCGTCTTGCTAAAGTCCTCAAATTTTAATTTCCTCTGGCAGAAATTTGATCATCCCGTCCCGTTGTTGCTGAAAGGTCATACAAGAACTAGGGCTTTAATGGGGAAGGGGGCGATGGACTCCCAGTCGAGCAAGGAGCAGCAAGCCAAAGGATTCGACGATCCCAAATCCTTGAATATCGATGAAATATCTCAGCACATCATGCCTCATCTTCTCAACATGTAAGCTCTTGCTCAGGCTTGGACGAGTTGTCGACTCAGAAGAGGAGAAAGAGATATAAATTTTGATTTTTGTTGCTTTTCGATTACTGTATATGGGATGTATATTAGGGTTTGTGCTGATTTGATAGGTATGGATTACGCGCGACGGCTAAAGACTTCGAAATCTACGCACCGGAAGCCACTTTTGAGGATCCTCTTATGCTTGCTCAAGGGTGAGCGAGCTTACTATTTTTTGTTTTGCGTATAGGATGTTTTATGTTGTAGATGAACGCTCAGTTTCTAGTCCTCTGTTTTTTTTACAGAGTGAAGCAGATCAAGTCGGCCTTCTATGCTCTTCCCAAGGTTCTTACATCTTTATCCATTTTAAAAAGAATGATTTTTTTTACTTGAATGATTTGTAGAAGCTTATAGTTCTGTTCTCTAAATCTTAAAAGTCTCCATTTGTTATATAATCAAACACAAGATTGTTTTAACATATTCTTAGATAATCATATTCTTTATTGCTCCATCATTCACTTCCATCTACAAGTATATTAGGCCTGTGAAGATTTATTTTCTTTTCATTTAGTTTGATCTTGAATGTTATAGATTAGTACACATACAATATTAGCTCTTTTAGTCTCTTTTAGTGGTATTCCAATCAAAATAATTAAGAAGTTCAGTTAAGAAATAAAATCAACATTATAGCATGGATTGTATGTGCTATGCTCTATAGAGCAGATAGCTTGCACAAAGTGCACGTAATATGCACTAGTTAGTACACTTATGCCTTGATATGCCAATAGAGCAAGATATGAGCATTGCTATGCTATTAGCAATATCATGCACTATTTTGTGCAATTAACAAGAATGATTTGTATGCTTCATGAATGAGCCAAACTTGAATTGCTTATCATATGGACACAATTTGTTTGGAAACATGAAGACTATTTTGATAGCCTCATTTCCAGCTGTAGAAGTTATTTGTGAACTACAATTTTAGTGAGTTTTTCTTCCATCTCCTAAGGTCACAACTAGTATTGTAGTTGGAGTTATTCATGTTCGCCAACAGCTTTGGATTCTACTGATCTTCACAATGTGCTTTTGTCTTCTTTTCATTGGCATCAATTCATGTTCACTATACTTTTTAGGATGTTGGATCGGAATTTGTCTGTGGATGGCACTTGACTTTACTATCAAGCAATCTTTTAAGTAAGAACTGAAGAGCTTAAAGAGATTCGGGTGAGTATGAAGAGAGAGAGAGAGAGAGAGAGAGAGAGAGAGAGAGAGAGAGAGAGATGGGAGTGTAAAGTATGCTCAAAGTATGCCAAGAAATCAGAGAACATCCAAAAGATCCAAATTGTGTCTTTTCACTCATTATTTATAGGAATGAGAGGGCTAAAGGAAATGCTACACAATAAATAAAAAATGTCAAAAAGTATAACATAAAGTATGACTCATTATAGATTGCATAGGACACAAGAGATTGACTAGTTTTCCACATGGCTCTTTGTTACATGTCCTTTTGTTCAAGCACAAGTCTTCACGGGTAGCGCACTGGGCAAGTCTTCAAGATAGTTGTGGAAGTCGAGTTTGTGTAGTTGAGTTCCGCGGAGGCGAAGGAGAGTCCTTCGAGGTTGTACTTGGACATTTAGCTGCAAAGGACGAGTCCCTTTGGGTAATGATGTATGTGGGTTGAGGTCTAACAAAATATTGGCGAGCGTAGTCATGGGCCCCTGAGGTGTACACTTTTTGTAGCTGGATAGGGGGATGTCAGTGGTGACTTGATAGCTTGGATGATGATGAGTAGTCATGGATGGTTGATCTTTGTCGTGATGACGAATTTCCGTGGGCTTATGTGAATCTCTACAAGTCCCCTGATGCGCACGCCTGGGACGACTCTTTGATGCAATGGATTGGGATGAATCACCAACCATGCTAGTTTGTGCCTTAGATGAGCAATGTGACTACTTTGGCCGATTTTTCTTACTGGGACCTCTAGATACCCTTGAAATAACTACATTGACATATACGAGATTCATCTAGAATATCAAGTTTAAGGATGAATAGATCAATTCAACCCCCAACTATAGAGCAATTAAGAAGGTCAATTAATTGTTGGTTTAGGATATTTAAATGCCTTTCAAAAGGAAATCTTGCATAAATAATTTATTAGAATTCACTTGATTATAAATAATTATATGTTATACAGAATCTTATGGCTTTGGTTGATAGCGGAGCATATATATGAATCATATCCAAGAAAGAAACAACCCTTCTAAATATTTTAAGATAACCACTCAAGTTTAACTTCAACTACTTATACCAGAATGCACATTAAATACAAATTGTGTAAGGCATCAATACAAATAAAATCCAATTCTTCTACTAAAGAAGTAGATAGACACTTTTCTAGAAAATCATATACCGCTGAGATCCAGTATTCCACCATCAAGAATAAGATTTTGTTTGGGACAACTTTTTTCCTGTTTCTAAAAACAGTTTTAGTACACAAATTAAATTTTTTTTTTTCTAAAAAACTGTTTTAAGAAGCAGTAAAAAAGTCATTCCAAATAAAGCCCAAGATGCATTTGTTTTTCAAATGCTTTATTAAACTTCATGATTTTTTATTTAACAAGAAATTCTTGCTTCGGATTGATTAAAGTGCTATTAAATCTATTAATCAAAAGAATGTGACAAATGTTGCATCTTAGCAAATCTTTGCCATATTGGAAGCACAGTTATATTTGTTTGATTTCGATACTGTATATATCTCTTGTTTTTCCAACTTTTTATCTATCTAACTCGTAAATTTTTATTTGGTGGGGGAAGAATGGACATCAGTCAAGGTAAGCGTCCAATGGCCCCATCACAGCAAAGTCTTAGGCAATGAGATGGAGGGAGTTTCTCTTGCAGAGGTCGACTCAGTCTAGGCAAATATCTTGCTATCCACTAAGCGGTTAAATAAGATTTAACAAAATATTTGTATGGAGAAAATTACTAGATATCGGAATAGAATGATAGGAAATACTTGAGTTCACAAACAAACCTATCATTAATCGGTAAGAACAGCGAGAAATCTGCTGATTTCAGAGAGAAATCAGTAATATGATGCAGAATTTGCATGAAATTGGAGAGTAAAATCAAGGAAAATAACTTCTATTCAATCCACAAACAAGAACATTCAATTCGAGAGGAAGAAACAACCATCCAAATTTCTAGCAAAGCCTAGAGCCCAAAAGAACCAAACCCTAGATCTCAAAATTCAACCAATCTTAAGATGAAGCCCTAACCCTCTCCAAAAGAGCTAATTAAAGACAAATGACAATTACAAATTTCCTAAATAGCCCCCCCCTAATTCAAAATTTTCCTCCTAAGCAATTTTAATTAGCATGTGGGCCCCCTAGCATCAACTGCCCCCTCCCTTTCTCCCTTCCTTGGTTCCGCCCAGTACTTGGGCTGCCTGGTGTAGGTTAAAACCAGTCCACTAGGGACCGGTTCAACCGGCCCAGGAGGGGCCGGCCTAACAAAGAATACAAACCCAGAACAATCTTATGCATTAACTATGAAGGAGTTCTTCATAGATAAACCAAGCTATTAGTATTATATAAAACCCAAAGAAGGTATTGCAGCAGCAACAACAACAACAACAAGCCTTTATCCTACTATATAGGATTGGCTATATGAATCCTTTTTTTTCATTGTGTCCTATTAAGAGTCAAAATCTCATTTAAATTTAATAAAAAAAGGTCATTTCTAATAGTTACTAACAAAGTCTTTTTAGATCTAAATCTATTTTTCTTAACATAGGTCATATCTAATATATCTACTCTCCTATTTGGGTCATTGGAAGGCCGACGTTTTGTGTGACCAAACCATTTAAGGTGACTCTCTCTAATCTTATCTGCCACTGGAGATGCTGTAACCTTTTCACATATATATTTGTTTCGCATTGTCTCTAAGAAAGTACTATTGAAATAAATTATTAAGCTTAAATAATGTTATTTGGAAAATTTTCCTTTCTTGCATGAAGTAACTTGTCATAAAGTTGCTGAAAATTCACGTTTGGTTCTTTTGATTCTTAGAAATTGCTCACTATTTTGAATATGTTATTGATAGTTGAATTTCGTAAGTTTTTTTTTTTCTTGATTGTGCTTTATCATTAAGTATGTCTTTGTTGCGTAAGGTTGTAAGTCTAGACGGTGAGCAATAAACTCTGATATATGCTCCCCATGATGATATTAAGTGTTATAAGCAACAACAACAACAACAACAACAACATCAAGCCTTTATCCCACTACGTGGGGTCGGCTACATGAATCCTTTTTATATATATATATAATGGCTCAAATAAATTTTTGATTAAGCATTGGTAAACTAAAAATTTATTTTATATGATTTTTGAGCTTTAGAAGTTCAAGTTAATTTGATCTCAATTCAAATTAAGCTAGAGCTAAGCTTGGGCTTAACATTTTATGGGCTGGGCAGATTTGGTATGGTCGCTCAAAGTGTGATTGATCCAAGCTAGCATGTGAGCTAGCTCAAGTTTATCTTGATAAATGGCTTTTGAGCTGAGGTTGATGAGCTAATAAGGCAAGATTTAGCTGGCCCTGCTAGTCCCATTGGCTTGTGTGCTTGTTCATTTAAAAAATATTAATAAAAATAAACTTAAAAATATTATGTATAAGTTTATTAAAATTTTAAAATATAAAGTCATAAAAAAATCTTAAAATTGTTGCTCTCTTCTTTATCCTACTAATTTCTCATTATGTCTCTTCTAGTTTTATATTCTTTATATCTTTTTATGTTTGCAATTACCCAAAGTAAAATCTTTTCTTTTTTATGCTATTCCCTTGTGCCGGCATGCAAGGGAGGAGCAGTGACTGATGGTTTTATTTGTGAAGAAATGCATGGGAAAGTAGATTTCAGTACTGGATTCCTACTCTTGTTTGCATTCTCAGACATGACTAGCACTTCTATTTCAGGTATTCAGCGAGTCTGAAATTGTAGAATACACTCTAAACGCGAATTCTACCTCACCAGGAAATGTTGAGGTCAGATTTCAGTATTACATTCTTTTGAGCAGAACTATACTTTGCCCATTGCTTTGTATCAGAAAGTCCAAAAATGATCACAGTATTGCATCTTCATTCAGGTTTTAATTGATAACAAGCAACACTACAAGATATTTGGAAGAGATGTGGATTTAGTATCTCTTATCAAGTTGAAAATGGAGAAAGGAAAAATCGTCCGCCATGAAGATTGGTGAGTCGTTCTGAACTATTTATCTTATCAACTTCCACACAAATAATTGAGTGAGAGGAAAGATTTTACTTGGCTTTTTTTTGAACTTTTTACTGATCCTTTGTTGAATTGCAGGTGGGATAAGAAGCCACTGAAGAACAGGGAGACAGTGAAGCTGCCATTGGTTGGCCGTCTTGCTGAAATCACCAGGAGGGGCTCGATGCTTATAACACATGCCTTAATGGGATTTGGTAAGGATCCAAATAACTGAATATTGAATGATTTGTTGTCTATGGTGATCTTCTTTGGTGTGATTTATATTAGTTTATGTATGACACTAAGATTAGTAACTGTTCTATATGTACTTTGCAAGTGAGATACATATGGAATCTGACTTCTGTAAACTTTCTCTAGATAATAATTATGTGATGCTAATTTATTAGAGTAATCATTTGCTTGAAGTGACTCGCCAAATAGAGATATGTCAGTATTCATGACTCAAATTTAAGATATCTTAGTTGGTAATCAAAGCATCTAACCAACATATCAAATAGGGGTGTCAATTTCGGGTCACAGGTCAGGTTCGGGTCGAATTCAAAATTGTCCCGGCACTATTCGAGTCAACCCAAACCCAACCCGTTTTTGCAAACGGATTGATTTTTCCGACACGACCCGAATGACCCGGAATCGTGAAAAAATTGCTAGTTTTCGGGTAAAAAACTGGTCAAACTCCGCTTTTTGGGTCGAAAATGGGTCAATATCGGGTTTTAGGGTCAAAACGTGTCAATTTTGGGTCACTATCGGATCAAAGAGTTAACCCGAACTCGAACCGATTTTTGAAACGGGTCGAATTATTGAACCCGAACCTAACCCGTTTCGGGTCCGGGTTGACCTAACCTAAAATTTTCGGGTCGGGTTCGTGTCGGATTTTTGGGTCCGGGTTGACCTTAACCCTAATACCAAATAGAGCTTCGTAAAGTAATGGAGGTACATTGCTTGGAAAGAGTGACTAGGTGGTCTTATTTGTCAGCTCCAAGTTATAGAAAGGGCCGTTTCCTCAACTTCACATGTAACCATCAACCCTGCTTTAAGGAGACCCAACTTTAGCTAGTTTAGTTTGAGCCAATACAACTTGAGTTTAGGCATATAACTCCAGATGGTTTCTAAATCATGTGATATTGTCAATGAATTTATCTTAATAACTATATTTTATGATGTTAAGTTCTATGTTATTAGATATTTGATAAATTTATAGAGTAAAAAAGATCATTAATTTCACTACTTTAGGCTTTATTTAGGATGACTTTCTTACTGCTCCTTTTTTTTCTTATGAGAATGCGGTCTAACTCAATTTTCTTACTGCTTCTTAAAATAGTTTTTTAATATAAAATAGTTTAATTTTGTACTAAAATACTGTTTTAAGAAGTTGTAAGAAAGCTATCCCAAACGAAATCTTAGTTTGAAATTTGTGCTTTATGCTAAAATATATGCTTAATTAATTATAAATTTTTGCTATGCTAACCTTTATCATGATTAAATACAATACGATAAATAGTAATTTGTGAAGCCAATGTCACAAAAAGTTGTTTCGGATAGCTTTCTTATTGTTTTGTAAATCAGTCTTTTAGTACAAAAATTTCTTGAAAATAGGAAAAAATTAGTGTCCATAAGCTGTCCCAAACAAAATCTTAAATTGCAAACCAGTTGCAACTAAGTTAGTCATCATCAATATCATCATCATCTTTGTGTTCATCATCCTCAATGTCATTATAGAGTACAACTTAGACAACCTTACCACTAAGGTTTCGTTTGGGACAGTTTTTTTGCTGCTTCTTAAAACAGTTTTTTAGTAGAAAAGTTAAAAAATTTGTATTCAAAAACTGTTTTAAGAAGCAGTAAAAAAGTCATCTCAAACGAATCCTAAATCTCCTAAGCATAATCTATCAGTCTACTTATATGTGATAATCATCTGAATAATATGTGATAGGTACCTATCATGAAGTTTTTTTTTTTTTTTTTTTTTTAAAAAAACACCTTTTTTTTTTTTTTTTGATAAAATAGCACTGAGAACAACTACTGATATTTATTAAAACCAGCAGTACTTTTTCACTATTCAGTACAAGTTTTTAAAGATTTTGAGCTTCTGAATTCACTAAGTACCAAACCAGCAGCTCTCTTTTGAGTCTCCAACTGTTCAAAGCTTGGAGGGGAACTTATTTAAAATTTAAATAAGTTGCTTTCCAAAGTTCTCAGAATAAAAGCAATCTGAAAAGAAAAAATAAAGAAAAATAAGATCAAAAATGATTTTACAAATTAATCAATTAGACTGTAATTGAAAGAACATTCATAATATGAAAAAAAAAGGTTGCATTAATGATATGTCAAAATTTTCATCTAAAAAATAAAGGTTGGCATGATTAAGCTTGATATGAAGTTAAAACAATTAATATCTCAATAGTTGGAGAAATTATTCAATGCGGACGTTGAACGTAATCCAATGATCAATTAGAATGCGTCATATCACCTCTTGCTCAGTACCCGGCTTGGTATTGCAGCTCGGTATCGCTCGACACCTGGCTTGGTATTGCAGCTCGGTACTGCTAGGCACCCAGATCGGTACTGTTGATGTGACACGTTCTGATTGTTATTCGGACGATAAATTATGTTTGGCATCCGCACAAAATAGTTTCTCCAATAAATAGTTGAAAGATTGATGTGGTACAAATGTTATTGAGCAAAATACCAATCTGGAGATGAGATCTAAGTACTATACTGAGAAAAAGTGTAACATCATGGGAGCCACTTCTTGAATCCTTCTCAGGAAAAATAAAATACTACGTGATGGGAATCACTTCTTAAAACTATAGGGGTCATCTCTAGAATCTAACTTCTTGATGAATAATTTTTAGTTGTATATAAGGATACTGATGATACTGTTAAATACTTAAATGAGGGAGATTGTGAAATCCCTCAGGCAATATTTTTAAATATTGATCCACCTTTTGGTATAGAGGCTAAAATTTTACTAGAAAGTTTAAAATTAAAAGTGCTCGAATAGGAGCACTCATGGGCTTATAATCCCTAAGAACATATACCAAGGAGATAAAATCATAAGATCATCAGGCTAAAATCGATAATATCTTGATCTTTAATTTTGAATTATTATATTGATGATTTGTATATACAGCTTGTAATAGGCTAGAAAATAGGATCGAGCCAATCGATTCACTTATTCGACTATGAATAAGCTCTCCGACTAATTCAATTCATTATTAAAATCATTTCTCCTTAGAATTAGAATGAATCACATTTTATGTTAAGTATATCATATTCAATGTTACAACATTTGTATTAAGAAGATTGTTTTATCTTATCTTTGATAATGGTTGAACTATTTTAAATATTTGATTTCAAAATATTTTATAATTCTTATGAAAGTAGACATATTTCATAAATTCTTATAAGATTTTATTTTATGCAAAAAAATCTAATTTTTTAAAAAATTATAATGCATAATTCTAAATTGCTCGGTTTTGCTCGGTATTGATCGATTTTGCTCTGCAATAACTAATACCGAGCAAATTCAGAGCAATACCGAGCAATACCGAGTTGTACCGAGTTTTTTTCTAGAAAAACTCGGTATTGGTCTTCACATAAGCGGTATTTCTCGTTATTGCCAACCAATACTTAGTAATACCGAATAATACCAAGCAAATACCGAGTAATATTTTGCAATACGCGAACATAGCATTCCCGGGTTCCAGTCCGAGTCAAGTCGTCGGGCCACGCGGTAAAGAGTAAGAACACGTGGCGATATATTATTGGTAGCTGAACGTAGCTCTACGTCCGATCAAAGAACGTAATAATTGTTCCAATCATAGACCTTTCAAATAAAAAAAAAATTTCAACTTTTCAAACATATTTTTTAAACTATTTTTATTGGTTTTAAAATAATAATTGTCCTGTCTTTTCCTAAATAAATTAATAGTGACCGCTTATCACTGTAGAAAAAGAGCTGACGCAAATCATAACTGAACAAACATATTACCAAAAAAAAGAAGAAAAAAAAAAACAAATTTCATTACAGTAAGAAAAAAAAACCCAAAAATTTTCCACTGCTAACTCTCTAACTGTTTCAAGATTTAATCTCCTCTCTAATCAAGAAATGCTAAGACCCTCATCCGCCGGAGCCGGCGGCGAAACACAGACGGCGACAGCCCCTTCCTTCTCCGGCGCTCGAGCGGGAGATGAAGCCGGAGTGTAAAACACCGGGGACTCGCACGGTGTCGCGAACAAATCATCTTCTTCCTTCTCTTCGAACTCCAAACCCTCTCTCTCTTCCTCCTTTATCGTATAAAGCACTCTCGAAGGCCCAAACGCCACTGCCCGCCACATGGCCAGCGCACATTCGTCGTCCACCTCCGCCGCCGCCGGCGGAATCTTTACCTGCTCGCCGCTGGAGGAACAGAGCACCGAAGAATCCCCGGCGGGTTCAACACGTGACCGAATCTTACAGCAAAGAAAGTTGAGCACTGTGGATTCTTTAAAGTAGGCACCTTTGCAACCGAGCTCAACATTGCCGGCGAGTGGTTGTTTCTGGCTTCGCCGCCGGCGGCGGCGGCAGAGAAAGCAGAGGAGCGTGACGGCGAGGCAGAGGAGGAAGAGGGCGAAGACGACGGAAAGGAGGAGGGTTACGCCGAGCTTGCTGAAACTTCTCATTTCTTCTTCCCGATGAAGGGAGTAAACCGAAAGGCGTCGATGGAAGGTTATTAAAGCCGAGTGAAGTCTCTTAAATGAAGGTGGTGCGGTGGGGGAGGAGAATTACCGGATTAGGAGCTAAGAGGTGTACTGGGGAACCTGCGAATGTACGGATGACCGTCTGTAGCCGGTAGGACTGCCGTTGGGGAGTTATTATGCAAAAAATTTCTGTTTTTTTTTTGGGGTCAAATCAAACAGAAGAAATAAATTTGACTGTTAATATGGTCTTAGTGTTTAAAATATTGGGTTAACTTAGAAAATTCTTATTTATATGATTTATTAAAGGATAAATTAATTATTATATGTGATTATTTTGTTGAGTTAGTTGACTTATTTTTATAAGCTATATAACTTATGAATTTTTTTATTAAATTTAATTTGATGAAAGTAATTAAAGGGGTAGATTTCGGGATAAAAGAATGATAAAACATATATCAAAGTTTGTATAATTGAAAAAAAAATATATGAGTTATGACCTATTGAAATGATGTACTATATAAGTAAGATTACATAAGTACACAAAAATTAATAAAGACAATATTATAAAGTTGGAAATACTAGCTTGGTCTCCTGCGATTGCAGTAGAGATTGCTTGAGTAGTAATGCAAGTGATGATAGTCAAATAATGCAAAAGCAATGATGGTCGATTGATGGGATTTGGTTGATAGTGGTGGGGTGATGATGGTTGGACAATGGTGGTCAGACAACGTAGAATGGGATGATGGTTTGATGATGACAAATTGATGCAGTGCATTATAGTACAGCTAGCATTATACATATTATTACTATTATGCTTATTATTTGTCTCTTCTTATATTTTACTGTGAGGAGTTGTCTTCCCACTATCCTAGTTTGCTTCTTTAGGAAAAAGAGTACAAGGTAGCTTTTGGTTATGCTTAACCATTTTCAGCGTGAGAAAGAACTCACGATAGTAGCTTTTATACTTGTTTGAGAAGGGAAAAGGAGGTAGACTAAAAATACTATACTTTTTGAGCTTGGCTCTAGTTCTTCCCTATGTTTCTCTTCCTGTTCTTACTATTCTTCTTAGTTACCCTGCTTCTACCGAAGTATACCACATCAGTTCTTGGTATCAGAGCCTGCGGCTTGGTGAGATGGCAGAGAGTAGCAAACGTGTATCGGGCAATGAGGACCGCAGCCTAGAGGCTCTTTGGGAGGCACACGTCGATGTCGTGAAACGGCTGGACGATCTAAACGTGAGCTTCAATCGTCTGGCAATGGAGTTGAGGTGAGACCGTGGAGTAGGTGGACTTCCGGCCAGAGAAAACGCTCCCAGACCTTTGCGGTTCGTTACACCTCCACCGCAACGACAAGGCGGACGTGGGTTTCGTGGATAGCGGCCATTTCACCATGTTCAGGTAGTGTCAGATTCGGAAGAGGAGATTGAAGACAGATTTTCAGATGGCTTTCAAGATTCCGATGGAGACAATGCGGCGCCGCCGTACCAGCAGCGGAGGCCGATGCCTTTTGATAGGCAACGTGGTGAGTTTCGGGCTAAGCTGGATATCCCCTTCTTTGAGGGGCGATTGCACATCGAGGACTATCTCGATTGGGAGCGGGCTGTGGAAATTTTTTTTGATTATATGGAGGTTGAACCCGAAAAGCAAGTTAAGTATGTGGCTTGTAGATTGAAGGGAGGGGCAAGTGCGTGGTGGTCTCATCTATCGCAGTCCCGCCGGAGAGAGGGCCGAGGCAGTGTGCGCAGTTGGGCGCGTATGAAGCAATTACTACGCTCACAGTTCCTCCCAACTGACTATGAACAGTTGCTCTACCTGAAGTATCAACAATGTGCCCAAGGCAGTCGCTCTGTAAGTGAATACACCGAGGAGTTCTATAGTCTCTGTACTCGAAATGACTTGCATGAGTCTACTAATCAATTAGTATCCCGATACGTTGGGGGGTTGAAGGACACAATTCGAGACAAGCTCGAATTAAATGCGGTGTGGTCGTTGGCTGAAGCAGTCAATTTCGCTCTCAAAGAGGAAATACAGTTGGAACGGCAATCCCGCAGCCATTCATCGAGGCGGCATTATACAGAACAGGGTGCGGACTTGAGCAAGCCGCCTAGCACGCTAGCAAGGAAATTCCCTGGACAACCGAAAGGTAATCCCCAATGAATTATTGGAAAATCCCCTTCGGAATCGAGAATTCCACTGAAACCTGTAAATGCAATCCGAGAAAATCTTTATGCAAAGCCCCAGGTGATCAAGTGTTTTCGGTGTTTTCAAGTCGGACACAAATCTAATGTGTGTCCTAATCGGCCCCAGCTACAGCTGCTAGACGCGGATGGTGAAGACGATGATGGAACTCCATAAGAGAAACTACCGACAGAGGTGGAGGATGTCGAAGGTGATAAAGGTGATCCTCTTATATGTGTCCTAGAAAAGCTATTGCTGGCACCTCGGCGACCAAGAAACTCTCACCGTCACACCATCTTCCGGACGCGATGCACGATCAATGGGAAGGTGTGTGACCTACTTGTAGATAGTGGGAGCTCGGAAAACATCATGTCCCGCACTGTTGTCCAAGCGCTTCACCTCAAAACGACAAAACATCCGCAGCCATACAAGATTAGTTGGGTGAAGAAGGGAATGGACATTATTGTGTCCGAAATGTGTCGAATTGTGTTCTCTATAGGCAAGCATTACTCTTGCGAAGTTGTTTGTGATGTCCTCGACATGGACGTTTGTCACCTAATCTTGGGGCGCCCGTGGCAATTCGACGTCGAAGCCGTGTACGACGGTAGAGCCAACACCTATTCTTTTTAGTGGAAAGGGAAACGGCTGAGGCTGATCTCACAAGTCACTGACATCCAAACCAAGGAAGTTGATGCAAAGACCTCCTTGTACATTGTAACAGGTAATATACTTTACTCTTCCTGGAAGCAACAAATGCCTATGTTTGCACTTGTGGTTCAGGAACAAGCGGCGGCTCATGGGGAGGTGAAGTCAGATTCCACTATCCAGGACATGCTGGAGCAATTCCGGATGTTATGTCCGATGCTCTGCCGTCCGACTTGCCTCCACTAAGAGCATTGCAACATCAGATCGACTTCCATCCAGGTGCGGCCCTCCCAAATCTACCGCATTACCGACTGAGTCCGAAGGAACAGCAAATCTTACAGCAGATTGTGGAAGAGTTATTAGAGAAGAAACTTATACAACCCATCCTTAGCCCTTGCGCTGTTCCTGCATTATTAGTGCCCAAGAAGGATGGGAGCTGGCGTATGTGTGTGGAACGGTGAAATTCCGTTTTCCTGTCCCCCGGGTAGATGAGCTACTTGAAAAGCTCACACATGCCACCATATTCTCTAAATTGGATCTCCGAAGCGGTTACCACCAGATCCGGATTCGACCTGGTGACGAATGGAAAACTGCCTTCAAAACTTGTCATGGCTTGTACGAATGGAAGGTGATGCCATTCGGCCTTTGCAACGCGCCCTTGACCTTCATGCGGTTGATGACGGAGATCCTCAAACCGTTCCTCAATAAGTTCTGCGTCGCTTATTTCGACGATATTCTTGTCTACAGTAGTTCATTACCGGAACACCTAGATCACTTGCATCAAATTCTTACAGCTCTCAAAATCAGCTTCATCTCAATCCTGCCAAGTGTGAGTTTGCAGTACCCAACACTTATTTCCTTGGCTTCATGATCTCTGCTAGTGGTGTGCAGGTGGATCAAAAGAAGATTGCAGCCATCACTCAGTGGCCGGTTCCGCAATCCTTCTTTGATGTCCGCAGCTTTCACGGCCTCGCAAATTTCTACCGCCGATTCATCCGTGGGTTCAGCATTCTCATGGCGCCTATCACTAATTGTTTGAAACTTAAACAATTTCATTGGACAGATGAACAACAGCGAAGCTTTGAGGCTATTAAGGCCGCATTAGTCACAACTCCAGTGCTTGCCCTCCTGAACTTTAGCAAGAAGTTTCACGTGGACACCGATGCCTCCGCCACCGGCATTGGTGCTGTCTTGAGTCAAGACAACAAGCTGGTAGAGTTCTTTAGTGAGAAATTGAGCCGTCCAAGATAGAAGTGGACAGTCTACGAGCAGGAGTTATATGCCGTCGTCAGGGCGCTAAAGCAGTGGGAACATTATCTGTTGAATGCTGACTTTTGTTTTATGCAGTGATCACAAGGCCTTGCAATATATCAATAGCCAAAAACACATAAACCGGATGCATGCCCGCTGGTTGTTGTACTTACAACGATTTTCGTTTGTGTTGAAACATAAAACCGGCTCTCAAAACATCGTCACCGATGCTCTAAGTCGAAGTTGCTCACAGTCGAAGCTCACCCTTCTTACACAGTTACAAACCGAAATTACTGGGCTCGATTGCCTCAAGGACCTGTATGCAGTTGATGAGGATTTTGGTACTGTTTGGAAAGCTTGCCAGGATAACTGCCCTGTAGCAGAATATACCATAAGGCATTGTTACTTGTTTAAAAGCAATCAACTATGTATTCCTAACTCTTCTTGGAGACCACAGTTGATTAAGGAGCTCCACTGTGGAGGGTTGGCTGCTCATGTGGGCCGCAGCACACACCCTGGCTCAGCTATAATCCTGATTTTTCTGGCCGCATCTCCGGCGAGATGTGATGAGATTTGTGGAGCGCTTCCCATTGTGCCAAAGCTATAAAGGGGGCGGACAAAGTTAGGGCCTTTAATTACCATTACCAGTGCCGGAGAGTATTTGGGAAGATTTAATCGTAGACTTCGTCCTTGGATTGCATCGCACACGACGAGGAAATGATTCCATCATGGTTGTGGTGGATAGGTTCTCAAAAATGGAGCACTTCATCGCATGTCGGAAGACTTTCGACGCACTAAATGTGGCCAAACTGTTCTTTAGCGAGATAGTCCGTCTCCATGGTATCCCGCGCAGCCTCACGTTGGATAGAGATGTCAAGTTTGTCAGCCACTTTTGGAAGGAATTATGGA